TTGGTGAGTATGTGCAAGGCACTGTGGAAAAGTACAGGGATTCCTCATAAATTTTAAAAATAGCAGTTCCATATGATCCAATAATTCGACTATTGGATATTTACTCAGGGAAAATGAAAACACTGAGGAGAAGTATTCGTATATTGCAGAATTATTTATCAGTAGCCAAGACGTGAAAGCAACCTAATTGCCTATCAATAAATAAAGAAACTGTGTGTGTGATGAGAGAGAGAGAGAGAGAAATGGAATATTCCACAGCTATAAAAAGGTGGGGATCATGCCACTTGAGACTACAGGATGAGCCTAGAGGGTATAATGCTACATGAAATAAGTCATACCAAGAAAGACAAATACCATATGACTCCACTCATAAATGGAATCTTAAAAAATGAATAAATAAAAACCAGAATCAGAACTGTCAATACAGAAAACACACTGGTGGTTGTCAGAAGGGAGAGGGGTGGAAAATGGATAGAGAAGAGTGGGAGGTACAGGCTTCTGGTTACGGAATTAGTCAATCATGGGGTAAAGGTACAGCATGAGGAATATCATCAAGGATACTGTAGCAGTACTGTATGCCACAGATGGCAGCCATACTTGTGGGAAGCATAGCATAAATGTATACTTGTTGACCTCTCTGTTCTATGCCTGAAACTAATATAACATGGTGTTTCAGCTGTACTTCAATACTTCAGTAATAAAAAAAATGAAGATTACATCCATCCCTTATTTTTACTTTTTACAAATTCATATAGAACATACTATGTTTTAGGGACTGCTTTAAATACTCTCTCTATATTAACTCAACAAGCCTAATACTAACCCTGAAGAAGTTGCATTCATTATTCCCATTTTGAAAGGACTCCAGTGAAAATTATCTATCACTGACTAATCTCTACATGCTCTAAGAAACTGTTGACTTAACTCTCTCTGCTCTTTGCTTTTCTACCTCTGGATTTCCCACTAGTTCCCATTTAATCCCTGTTGCTAAGTTCACATCTGGGACATTTTTCAATTTTCATGATTATGACACTCTCCAATAATTCCACTCTCCTTAATAATTCTGCCACTCCCTCACCAGTTTATACTATAGTTCATTCCTATTTGGTCATCAACCACAGAAAAAAGGAAAAAAAAACGGATAATAATACATTTGTTGATGTGTGAGACAAAGTCAAGTGATGTAATATACATATAATATGAATCCACAGAGATGCCTAAAGACATAGGGAAAAAATACTTGTAGAATACTGACGGAAAAATTACTAGAATTAATGAAAATTATAAACCTTCAAGTCCTAGAGGCATAACCAGCACACCAACCTGAAGAAACAAAGAAAATCACACCAAGATTCTATAGTCACATTCTTGCAAGCCAGGTACAAAATGAAAAATTTTTAGCATCTAGAATTAAAAGATATGTTATGTACAAAGGAACAAATATAATATGACAGTAGGTTCATTCTCAGAAAATAAGCTGTATGGTTCCAAAGACAATGGAGCAATATCTTCAAAGTTCAGTAACAAGAAATTATCTGTCATTTAGACTTTTATACCCAGTGAAAATATCTTTCAAGAAAGTAGATAGTGTAAGAAATATTTTGAAAATATATATAGGCAGAAGAATAAGAATACCAAATGCACTTTACAAGAAGGAATGAAGAGCTCTTGAAATAGTAAACATATGACTAAATAGAAATATATTTCTCACTTTAACCTCTTTGAGATAATTCAGTACACAGTAATCGTTTAAGGTACAAATAAAACTAATGTATTTTAGTGTTTACAATGTATGAAAAATAAAATATATGAGAAGAATTAACACATAGGAGTATAGACATCAAAGCATATGGTGGTACTGTTCTTACATTCTACGTGAACTGTAATTTGAAGGTAGGCTGTGTAAGATAAAAAATACATCCGATAACCTTCCAGCAACCACAACGATGTAATAACAATTAAAAAGTGAGATTTAGCTAAGAAGTGCATAAAGAAAATATAACATATTTTTAAAAATTTATTAATCCATCAGAAGGTAGCAAAAAGCAAAAGAATGAACAAAAGAAAGAAGTTGGGGGGCACCTGGGTGGCTTAGTCGGTTAAGCGTCCGACTATCGCTTAGGTCATGATCTCGCGGTTCGTGGGTTCGAGCCCCGCGTCGGGCTCTGTGCTGACTGCCAGCTCGGAGCCTGGAGCCTGTTTCAGTCTGTGACTCCCTCTCTCTCTGACCCTCCCCTGCTCACGCTGTCTCTCTCTCTCTCTCTCTCCTAGAAATAAAAAAAAAAAAAAAAAAAAAAAACATAAAAAAAAGAAAAAAGTTGGAAGCAAATGGTAAGTTGATCTATTGAAACCTAGGTATCTTAATACACATGTGATTAAGTTCTCTAAAACCCTCAAACAGGAAATCTATCAATTATAAGCAAGCCCAAGTACATGAAGCCTATTAGGAAATATACGCTAATATAAAAGGAATTAATATTAATAGCAGTTAAAAATAAAAAGATAAAGAAGATATGTAAAGTGAGCACTAATCAAAAAAAGCTGAACTTATATTGATATCAGACAAAAATTATTTTAGAACAAGGAGGTATTACAGAAATAATGGTGGACAATATGTAATACACAAAACATAGTAAGAAAGCAGTCAATTTATCAAAAGGATATAAAGTAATATTAAATATTATGTATATTAAATAATAATGGAACTTCAGGATAAATGAAGCAAAAACTGATAGATCTGGAAGTGAAATAAACAAAGCTCCAGTTACAGTTGGAGATTAATTCTCTTATTAATAGAACAAGTAGATATAAATTAATAAGGATATGGAAACTTAACCCTATTAACTAAATTGACCTAACTGCTTTTTTAAAAACACTCCTCCAAGGACAGAATACTCATTCTTTTCAAGTGCACATGGAACATTCACCAAGATAGTCTGTAATCTGGGTGATTAAAAGATGGTTCAATAAATTTAAAGTGTTTAAATTATTAAAAAAATTATATATACTCTCTAATCACATTAGCATTAGGCTAAAGAGTGAAGCAAGACTATCTGGAAAATCTCCAAGTATTTGGAAATTAAACAATGTGCTTCCAAATAACCCACAGGTCAAAATAGCTACCACAAGGATAATAAGAAAATATTTTGAACTGAATGAAAATAGAAACACACACCACTGTATAAAAGTGTGGCAAGTCAAATCCAGCAATTTAAAAATTTCATGAGGTATTCTAACCAAGTGGGGCCCATCTCAGGAAATCAAAATTGGTTCAAAATGTGAAAACTGATGCAATTTACAGCATTAACAGAATGAATATTAAAACCCACATAATCATATCAATAGAAGGAAATAAGGCTTTTGACAAATAGTCAACATTCATTTAGGATACAAACGCATTTTTCTGGGTACTGATGGAAACTTTTTCAACCCAGTAAAGAGCACCTACAGGAAATTTATAGCTAATCTGTTAAGGAAACATTTCTCATAAGATTAGTAACAAAGCAATGTCTACTTTTACAACTTCTATTCAAATAGTAGTGGAGTTCCTAGCTAGTGCTGGAAGTCAAGAAAAATTAGTGAAAAATGTCTTGATTTACACAATGTCATCAACACCGCAGAATTTAAAATAAATCTATACAGGGGCGCCTGGGTGGCTCAGTCAGTTAAGCGGCAAACTTCAGCTCGGGTCACGATCTCGTGATTTGTGAGTTTGAGCCCCACGTCGGGCTCTAAGCTGACAGCTCAGGGCCTGGAGCCTGCTTTGGATTCTCTTTCTCTCTGCCCCTCCCCTGTTCATACACACTTTCTCTCTTTCAAACACGAATAAACATTAAAAATTAGAAAGAATAGAAAAAAATAAAATGGATAGAATAGAATAGATCTATACAAACCTACCAGGACAAGTGTGGTAACAAGTTGCCAGGGCAAGGCCAAAATTTAAATCAATGCCAGCCATGAATTATAAAATGAAATTTTAAAATAATACTATTTGTAATAGCATCAAAATATGAAATACTTAGGCATACATATTTAAAAAAAACTGCAAGGCTCAAACTCTAAAGCATAACCAAGAGAAATTATAAAAGGCTTAAGGAGAGGTTGAGATCAGAAGATGATATTTGTAAGATGTACACGTACCCATCTGTAGTTGGTGTATAGAATCAACACAATTCCAATCAAGAGGCTGATGGCTCTTTTTGTTTCTCTGCTATGTACAGAAATTGATGTAGTGACTCTCAAATTTCTATGAAATTGCAGAGGGTCCAGAAGAGTCAAAATGAACGTTAAAAAGAACAAAGTTGGAAAATTTAAACATTTTTAAAAAAAATTTACAGAGCTAAAGTAATGAAAGTGGTATAGAATTGGTAGAAGGAGAGACAAACAGCACAGTGGAAGTAGAGATGAAGTCCAGAAGTAGGCCAACACGTATAAGGTAAAATGATTTTAGACAAAAATAGCAGTTAATTCACTAAGGAGAAGATAATCTTTTTAACTTCCTCACCGAAGAGCTGAAACAGTTTCACTGCACTCTTTACCACGGACACTATATAAAGTCCAGATGCTTTTACCATTGCCACACCTCACGAGATAGATTTAGAAAAGTTGCTCAATTTCCAATTTATTCCGTGTAATGAATCTGTTTCAAAGAGCTGCATTAGGATCAATTGAGATAATGTGCATGTGAGCATGTAGCAAGTGCAAATTATAAAGTTCTCTATAGACCAAAATTATTGTTTGCATTAGTATTGAAATAATGGCAAAGATAATACCTATGTCATAGGATTTTATGAGCACAAATTATATGAAGGCTTATAATACTGTCTAGGACATAATAGCTTTCAATAAGTCTGAGCTTTTAGTAAAAATGATCATCACACTCTTAGTAGGAGCTATAATTTGTATGATTCGTCAGGACCGTCTTATGTCTAACAACATTATTTCTGGAATAACAATTGATTAAAATCAATATTTACCTTTTATACTACTTCATATAGTATTTCCCCATTTCAGACCATTTCCTGATTCTCCAACCCTTAGAACCCTAAGGAAAGGGAATTAGAAGGAAGAGGAAGAGAACGTCTCCTCATTTCCCCTGAGGAAAATAACATATCCAGCCTAGTTAAGACTGTGGAATTTACCAGAACATTAGTTTGCCTACTGATAATACTCATGTTGAATTCTTTGAAGAGCTGTCTTTTGATTTACCTTTTCTCTCCACGTTCTCTGAATTAGCACCTTTTGCTATTGTCAATAAAAGTTTGAGATACAAACTCAGGATGGTTCCACCTAAGACTTTTCAGTGTTATGATGGTGTAAAAGTGAGACACATTCAGCGGACAGTGTTCTCAGAAGGTTGAATTCCGGTCTTTTCTTGAGCTGGTGATTGGTGGCACGAGGTCCTTGGTGACGCTGGGCAGTGGCAAGCAGGACGAAGTCCCAGTCACCCGTCAGCCACCGGGTGAAGAACCGATACTCTGACAGCCATCCTATGTCCGCACTAACCCTTCTGTTTGTCACCTTCCGAACAGTATTTAATAAACTGGATAGACAGTCAACACTTTATGAAACATGCTTTGTGGGGCGCCCGGGGGGCTCAGTCGGTTAGGCGTCCGACACGGCTCAGGTCATGATCTCACCGTTCGTGGGTTCGAGCCCCCCGTCGGGCTCTGTGCTGACAGCTCAGAGCCTGGAGCCTGTTTCAGATTTTGTGTCTCCCTCTCCCTCTCTGATCCTCCCCTGCTCATGCTGTCTCTCTCTCAAAAATAAATTTAAAAAAACATTTAAAAAAATTAATACATAAACTATATTAAAAAAAATGTACTTTGTGTTAGGTGATGTCACCCACTATAGGCCAATGCCAGAGTTCTGGGCACACTAATCAGAGCCTCTGCTCAACTATGCTGTTCTGCAGGTTAGGGTATGCAGTGCATTTTGACTTACCGTATTTTCAGTTTGCCTTGGATTTTCCAGGATGTAAACCTGTTGTCCATCAAGGAATATCTGTATAGGAAATACATCAAGGATGTAGACTGTGAAAATAATGGGAAAGATTCAGCACTGAGACTACTAAGGTCATTCATAATACTTCATTTATGGGTAAACAAATAAGTGCCTTTATGCTGTGTGGGTTTCTCATCTTTGTAAAAAATTTTGAACATTTCTATGGTTATAGTATTTTTAAACATAATTTCTTATGAATCTAGTGATCATTTTCTTTGACTTAGGATATACAGAAGTTACATTTCTGATTATATTCACCTTCCACCTAGAAACACAGTGTTCTAAAGCAGGTGGTTAGCTTTTAGCCATTTATCATGGTCACATTAGTGAAGATTATTTTTTAAATGTACTATCATTTTTATTTGTTTGAGAGAGAGAGAGAGAGAGAGAGAGAGAATTCCAAGCAGGCTCCACACATCGCCTGACACAGGCCTCTATCTCACCATGGTGAGATCATGACCTGAGCTGATACCTAGTCAGATACTTAATGAACTGAGCCAGCCAAGCACCCAATTGATTATCATTTTTAAATACTTCTTTTTTTTTTAATTGGTAGTTTGGACAAGTCATTTCATGCTTTCTGTCTTTCAAATTAGACATTTTATAATGAAGGATAATGGATTCTTATATCTGGAACTCTAGACCTTCCTATTGGGTTTGGGGTGACTGTGACCCCTGCAATGATTAGGCTCCTTGGTCAGCACTATAACATGGAGGCATAAGCAAATGAGAATCAGGGTGTGGGAAGGAAACTGGAAAACTAAATCCAGAAAACTGTTGAAGACATAGCCAATTTAAATTTAAAATTTTTAAGATTTCGTTAAAGACAAAGAATAGATCATCTGGGTATCTGTAAGAAAACTGAAATTGGATTCCAGAAAAAGGAATTATTTGTGAAATTTTAACCAGATACAAATATCCTGAGACACCTTTAACATAGATCTTTTTGGTTTCCACCCCATGAAAAAGGGAACCTGACAAACTTACAGGAACAATATGTCCACGAATTTGTTGACCTACCTGAGAATTTACACACAAAAGTTTCAAAATTTATAGCTAGTTTTCATTTGCTTGAAGATAACTGCTATAGTTAAAATTCAGACCCTAAATAAAAGTTAAAGTGATCTGACATCAAGGCTTATAGGGAAAAACCCCTCAAAAACCAGAAAGGCTTGACCATTGGTGGAATACAAAGGAGGGGCCGCTACGGAATTGTCAATAGTGAGGCATAGACGGATGTACCTCTAATTTTATTACAGAAACAATACTTTAATAAAGATTTTACAAAAGTTAATTATCCAAGGCACAGATTTTATTTTCTTTGCCTTCTCTTGAGACAGATAATAATAATTTCAGGCTTACTCAGTGTTGCATAAACAGTACCAAAATTTCCATGTGCCCTTCACCAAGAATCCCCAAATATATGTTATCACATTTGCCGTATTATATTTTGTCTGTGTATTTCTCTGAAATTCTTGAGAGTGAAAATGAGGATCTTTCACCACCATATAATCACTTAAACCCAGATATTAACACTAATTCAATTTTATTATCTAATTTATACATCTAAATTTTACCAATCATCTTGATTTTTTTTTTTTTCAGAATCAGAACCTAATTCAGTCTCACATTCCATGTAGTCCCCATCTCTTATCTCCCTTAGTAAAGGCCAATTATTTTATAAAATGTCCCTCAGTTAGGGTTTGTCTATTTCCTCAATATCGGATTTAGGTCTTTTCTTTATTGGTAGAAATATTCAATGGGCATGGTGTCCTTCGGTAATCATGACTGGAGGTACATGTAGAAGTGTGTTATTACTGATGATAATGAATTCGAACACTTGGTTAAGTGATATCTGGCAGGCATCCTGACTGAAAAGCACAAATATTTATTAAGACATGAATTTGTGTATATATTTCATTTCCCATAAAATTTTCACCTCCTAATTTTAATACCCACTGATAATTTTGCCACAAACAATTATCGGGGAGATTATAAGATACTTTCCGATGTAAGGTGCTCAAATTTCTGGCAGTTATCAAGAAAAATTCAAAATATTTTTAGTACAAAAATTTAACCAAAACAAAAAAAATGAGTTAATAGTTTTTAATGTTTTGTTTATGCGTTCTTACTCAAGACTCAAAAGAAACAGGCCTGTTTGAGGGGTGGCTACGTGGGGGAAGATGGAAACAGCAGCTGAGAGAGGGACCCTTGCCTCCTTGGAGACAATGCATGTGCTTTTGAAAAAAACAAACAAACAAACAAACAAAACTGCTATAGAATTGCTGTATTTTGAAAACTCCAGGTCAAACAGTGCATTAGAAATATACCGGAATGCCTGATTCCTAGGGTAGTCTCATCAAAGGTTTATCAAAACTTCTCTATTTTATACAAATGCCCTGACTCGTGATGTGCTAGTACAGACCATAACCTCTAACTCTGAGAAACACCAGTATCAGTAAACTTAAAACCGGGTTCAAGCCAGTCTACCGGGGAGGAGGGTATTTGCTAGTCCAAACTGCAATATTGGTCTAACCATCCTATTTATTATTATTTTTAAATGTTTATTTTTGAGAAAGGGCATAAGCAGGGTAGGTGCAGAGAGAGAGGGAGACGCAGACTACAAAGCAGACTCTAGCCTCGGAGCCGTCCACACAGAGCCTGATGCAGGGCTCAAACCCACAAACTGCAATATCATGACCTGAGCTGAAGTTGGATTTCCCACTAAGCCACCCAGGTGTCCCTACCTATTTATTGATTAGCTTCAATTTTACTTTTTCCACTGTATATAACTTGCAAATCCCTTTTTTATTGTATTTATTTATTTTGAGAGAGAGTGAGTGAGCGCAAGCGAGAGAGCATGTAGGGGAGGGGCAGAGAGAGAGAAAGAATCCCAAGCAGACTGCACACTGAGAGCACAGAGCCCAGCTCAGGGCTTGATCACATGAAGAGTGAGATCATGATCTGAGCTGAGATCAAGAGTCTGACACTGAACCCAGTGAGCCACCTAGTGCCCCACAATCCCTTTCTCATTCGGTCCTAATAAAATATATGTGCTAAATGCCAATGCATATTGGGCATCCTGTATTTGTTATTTAAATGCTAAGGGAGACGAGAGAAACATTTTGGGAATACGTGACTATAAGGGCAGCCATTCAGCTATTTTAATTTCCCACAAATTGATGTGATAGGCTAATAAAACCAAGTGAAGATACTATTAGGCACATTCTCGATCTTTCAATCAGAAATACCCCTGGCTGTGACACTATGAAGTCAACATATTCCAGCCATTTTGCTGGTATTTTACTCAGCCTAGGTCTAAATGATTAAAGTTTTATTTTAGAACCATGTGAAGTCATCGTTTTGCGGAAGCTATAGTAAGATGAACATAATAAAATTCCTTTCCTTCTCTACATTACGGCTGATTTCACTCAGGGCTTTATGTGTCTCATTAAACAACTTGAATGTGTTGCTTAGAATAATTCCCTGTGATGCCAGGTAAGAAAATAATGGGTTTCAGGAAATTTGATGACATACTGACATCCTCAGCTGATGGTCTTGGCATCAGCTATAGCACTTTCTGAAAAAATGATTTGCTTAAGGAATTGTGTTAAATGTACACTTTTGCTTGCTGATGAGGAAAAGAGAAGAGACTGGAATCAGATCACCGTATACGTCCACAATGCTCTATACAAGATTTAGCCACATCATAAAAAAAATAGCATTTAGAAAAAAATCTCAAAGTTTAGTCAATTCTGCTGTGGTTTATAGTCCCAAGGTGTCTTGTTTTTCTTCTTTTCTCATCAATTTTCTTTTTCTTCATGAGTTGTCAAATACTTCTTATGAGTAGGTATCCAAATCTGTGGAAACTCTCTGCTTAAAGGCCAATTAAAGTTATTTACATTCAATACTTTTTTTTTTAAGTTACTTATTTTGAGATTGGCTTGTGTGAGTAGGGGAGGGGCAGAGAGAGAGGGAGAGAGAAACAATCCCAAGCAGGCTTCACACTGTCAGCGCAGAGCCCAACACAGGGCTCGAACTCAGGAACCCTAAAACCATGCCCTGAGCTGAAACCAAGAATCAAACCCTTAACAGACTGAGCCAGGTGCCCATAAGTCAAAACTCCTTCTAATTAGGTGCCTCAAATACGCATTTGATAGCAATTCAGTGTTTCAAGAAATCAAACAATTTTTCCAGTTGATGAACAGAAATATTCAAAATCAAAAGTTTTTTTATGTCATAAAATTACTTGAAAACAATCATCATAGGATATGGAAGAAGAATTATAATTGAAAAAGGATATTTCATAGCATCCAATTAAAATAATAGTTTTGGGACTTATTTAGTAAGATTCAAGTTTGTCATTTAGTTAAATATATAGATTTTGTTTTTTAATGTATATTAATGATATTTTTACTATTTTTATATTTACTATTTTGGCAGTATTGTGACTTATATGTCTTTTTGTCATTGCATACATATACGCACACAAACTTACATATAACCCTCTCCTACACCCCCCCCACACTTGGGCACCAATTGAAATTTTAGTAAATCTATTGAATATTTTATTATAAAAGATACCTTTTCCCCTCTTGGTCATCTCTATATGATAAATATCATTATTTTTTACATTTTAAAACAGCTTTATTCTCTTAATTACTAACATAATTACATAGAAAAATACAGATTTTCAATAATATTAAAATTATGAATCATCCTGAAATGGCCATCATTAATGTTCTGGAACTTGTTTCTATTATATTCTATATGTAAAATTGTAATTTTTCTGTATTTAAATATTGGTGGTAGAACTTTTCAAAAATCATACTCAAAATACTTCACAATGCACAATATATTATATAAATATTTGTATATTTATATACAATACAAAGAAAATAATTTGTAATATCTTATAAAACAAACTGGGCACAGGTTATCTGCATTTATATTATTTATATATCTCCAGGTCTCCAGTTTTTATATTTGAAACCAAGATT